CGCTAGCTGTCCAGAGTTTTGTGTCAATATTTGTTTCCTACGGACACGATACTGGGGAACTAGCCCTTAGCAGCTCCACTGTAAAAAAATAATAAAACGATTGTTTCCGAGCTGTAAGAAAGCAGGCCAGTCTCTCTGGTCAGTTTATATAATGGTGTGTTGGCTTTCAAGCTGGGAATGCGAAGTGTGAGTTATCTACAGATCGAAGCTCTTCAGTGCAAAGTTTGGTGGTTAATGTAGCGTATACTCCTTTTTATCAACCATTAAAACAGTCCAAAATCGGCTTCAAGCACCTGTACACTCTGGTGTTCCCAAGATAAGAAAAAAACAAATGGTGTCAAAGCTAAGGTGTGTCAAAAAAAAAAAAAAAACGGGATCTCTTTGTTACATAAAAATTAAAAAAAAAATCATTAGGAAAATGAAATAGATTTGATTTAGACCAGATTTGTTTGATTTAAATCACATTTACTTGGTATAAATCAGATTAATTTGATTTAGTAGGAAATAGTGATTCTTTATGTCTAAATGTTTTTTTTTTTTTTTAACATGACAGGTTTAGTCAGTCTGATTACTGAAAACAATAAGGAAGAATGGATTACTGTAAATTTAAAGTACAGTCTGATTAACAACTTTCTATTCTTGTAAGCTAACAACTTTCTATTCTTGTAAGCCCCGCCCTGCTAGAGCAAAAGCTTTGTGTACACTTTCTTTTGCCCTATGATTTGCTTGCAACAGGATACTTTGTAACTGATCAAAACGATAGAAGGTAGAAAAGAAGAAAAAAGGAAGGAAAAGTTCTGAGTTGAACAGAAAATCACCACCTTTTGCGCGTGATCAGCATATACAAATATTTATTGTTTTGTTGATTTTCTTTGTTTAAATACAAAACAAATGACCACAGAAAACATAAAACAATAAACAAATATTAAAAAAAAAATAACTTCTATAGCTTATTTTTCTTTGAGAAGTTTGATTTAAATCATCATGTAAAGTAGACGTGATTTAAACCACGGTTTAAATCATCCTTATTTTTTTTTATTTCCACTCTGGTTACATGTAACATAAGTGGCTGGCATTCTACGTTGGATACAATTTTCCGAATTCACGATTTGAGCGATTTTCTTGTGAAGTTTCGTGGGTGTGGCACAGGTCAGTGTGAACGGTTTTTTCGAGCAGCGAATCTTGATCATGTTTGCCGTATTGAGCTACAGTGACCCGGATTGACCTTTCGAAACAAGGCTCTCTTTGCCCCCTGTGGCTTATCTTTCACCCCCATGTATACAGAGCAGGCTTTTACAACGAAGGGTTGGAGCTGAGCCAGTTGGGTCATGCTTATGGATAAAGCCAGCTGAACGTATACATATAGATATACTATAGAACGAAGTCCGGCGTTTCTTCGCCTTTCTTTTTATATATTTATAAATGTTTAGCTGGTTTTACCAGTACGCAGGGGTTCCCCCACTGATCTCTATTGTAGCCGGCTGAATCGCGGATCGGGAGCCCATTGGTGGCACCACCGCCGGCCATTGCTTGACATCGGGCAATACACGCAACTTTATGGGAGAACCACACAAAACTAGGAATATTGAAGCTTGTACGATGTGTTCGAAGGCCAGTATCTTATGATATGCTGCGATCATTATATCGGGTGTATAGAGATCGAATCGGTATTTGTCAAGCGTTCGAACGCCCATTAGAACATCAAACGTGCCGGAGCTCCCGCGGCTCAGCTGGCAAGCTTGCTCCCGTATAGTGGAGTAAACAATGGAACTTGCCGTCAATAAGACCGTCCTCGGCGAAGCCCAGAAGTTGATGAACGTAGAAGAAAAGTTCCATCTTGACAGCGGCTTGCCGGGGGTGAGCGAATTTCGCGTAGCAAAGCCTTTAAAAGCTTGTCGTCTGCTAAACCCAACTCACCGAAACCGCCACCGACTCCGCGGTAACTTTATAGGTAACTCTTCTCTCATTGAGCTGCTCTACATTTTTTTTCCCAACGGAGTCACTCTTGACAGCAAACCATTTCTTTATAAGAATTGCGAAGGCTGCCAGTTTTAATGCTTGTGCACTAGCTCTTTGACAGGTTTCCCGAAAAGCAGGCTAGAAGTTTCAGTGTCGACAGAAGCTTACCGCCGAATTCAGGAACCTCACTCAAACTACACTCAAACTGAAGGGCCCCTCCACTTCCTCGAGGAAGGCGCGAGGGCCGGCGCTGGCCAATCGCGAGGACGGATCCGCCGTCGCGATTGGCCAGCGCCGGCCCTCGCGGCCTCCCTCGAGGAAGTGGAGGGGCCCTTCAGTTTGAGTGTAGTTTGAGTGAGGTTTCTGAATTCGGCGGTTAGAAACGGGCGAAAGGCCACTTTTTCTTGTGTCTTCCATAGAGTCCCATAGATTCGCTGGGGTCAAGTGATGGCCGGTGGTGCTGCCACTCGACCTCAGCAAGACAAGCCTCGACCCGCGATCCAGCCTACAACAAAAAAGATCAGTGCCCCCCCCCCCCCCCCCCCCCCCCCCTTAATGGCGCCCTTTGTCTTCAGAAGTTCGCTGCCAAGGAATGGTCCACGCAAAAGTGGTAGATTCAGGGAGTGAGTAGTTTGTAATCCGGTGATTGTAGTCCAATATTGGAGAGTACGAAAAATCCGTTTTCAAACCGGCAGCATTTAGAAAATCTCGAGTAATTAGAAGAGTAACGCTTACTTCTTCGAGTAATGGTCAAATACTTTTTTTTTTCGAGTAAACTAATGGAACACTTCTTAACCAGGAGTAATTGTGATTATAGTCGGTGACGTTTTTTTTTTTGTTTTTTTCTTTTAGTAGCGTGTACTAGACTGCGTCCCCCTTTCTATTGACTATTCTGCTGTTGCTCAAATTCTACATCTCTACTATTCCTGATCGTAGGCGAGGACGAGGGTCTCGTGAAAACGTAAATATTGTTCTGATGGTGGGTCCGATCTCGTTTCGCTTGAAAATAGACGGAAACACCGAATTCGGTCCATCGACTTCATCGGGCGGCGATCTGCATGTCCAGCGCGTGACTGTGATAGTGACTTTTGATAGTGATAGGAGTTAGTTGCGCTAACCTGGACATGTTCGGCCAGGTTAGCGCGACTAACCACTATCACTATATGCCGAGTTCTGTGCCTTTCAAGCAGAGCTTTTTGTGAAACGTGCAACGCGCTCCGCCTCGCCGAAAAGACTGCCGGGCACTTGCTGTATAGAACCGGCTGTAGCAGGCGACATTCGGTGACCTTAGAGGCGACAGAAGAAAACGTAGGCCGGCGGGCGAGAGCAGGCGAGCGACTTTGCTTCAATTCTCCTTAATATTACGTAGTAAATACTGCGGGAGCCAGGACGAGCAGACAGCACATTTTCATGATTTGTTGAGCGCTGGGCGCGCGGACGTTGCCGATCCTCAAGGCGTAAAACGCTTTTTAACCGAGCACCATTTTTAGAGCGCAGCTCTTAGGGGCCCGTTTCCGGCTTGAGCGGCGTCGCCGTCGGCGTCGGCGTCGGCGTAACCGCGCGGTGCATCATGGGAAATGTCCCATAATGCACCGCGCGAGCCCCCCACCAAGGTCACGTGACCTCGTGGGGGTCACGTGACCCCCCGAAGTCACGTGACTCCCCTGAGGTCACGTGGCCCCCTCCTCGAGGTCACGTGACCCCCGCCGATGTCGCGTGACCCCCCGATGACGTCATCGTCACTGATGACGTCACCGGCATCCACATCGTCATCGTCATCATCACTGATGACGTCACCGGCATCCACATCGTCATCGTCATCATCACTGATGACGTCACCGGCATCCACATCGTCATCGTCATCACTGATGACGTCACCGGCATCCGCATCGTCATCGTCATCATCACTGATGACGTCACCGGCATCCACATCGTCATCGTCATCATCACTGATGACGTCACCGGCATCCACATCGTCATCGTCATCATCACTGATGACGTCACCGGCATCCGCATCGTCATCGTCATCATCACTGATGACGTCACCGGCATCCACATCGTCATCGTCATCATCACTGATGACGTCACCGGCATCCACATCGTCATCGTCATCATCACTGATGACGTCACCGGCATCCACATCGTCATCGTCATCATCACTGATAACGTCATCAGTGACGTCACTGATGTCGTCACCGGCATCCGCATCGTCATCGTCATCATCACTGATGACGTCATCAGCGACGTCACTGATGACGTCACCGACATTCGCATCGTCATCGTCATCATCACTGGTGAAGTCATCAGTGACGTCACTAATGACGTCATCGGTACCCGCATCGTCATCGTCACTGATGACGTCATCAGTGACGTCAGTGATGACATCATCGGCATTGGGGGTCACGTGACCCCCAAGGTAACGTGACCCCCCCCTGGTTAGTTTACCCCCCCCCCCCCAGTGCCCTTCCCTCCTCCTCCTCAAGAGCTGCGCTCTAATTCGGCGTTACAGGGAGTTGTAAGCGGCTTTCATTTTTTTTTTTAATATATTGTCCGTTCGTCCATGTGAGTTTCCCGCTAAATCTATCGGGGAAAGGGACGTCACGTGACATCACGGCATCAAGTCACATCATGTCACGCCAGGTCATGGGGCCACGTCGTATGAGGGAAAACCGCTGGACGTCAATTCCCCGATAAGGGTAACGGTTAAAATGGTGTCACCTGACTTGACGTCCCTCGATTTCGTGTCGCGACAGTCACGGTGGGACATCATGATGTCACGTGATAACATGACCTATGTTGCCCGACTTCATGTGACATCGGGTCGGTCACGTGACCTCAATTTGCCTACTGAGTGTAGGGAGGAAATGATTAAACATTATTGTTCTTCTCCCTCACACTCCGAAACGGATTGTTCGGTGTTTCCCTGCATTGCGTGCATTTTGTGACTAAAGTTGGGGGTGGATGCGCCGACCAGCGTGGTTAGCCGGTGGGGCGCAGTATCGCGTGCTCGGCCTTACCCCGGGCTCTCGTGTGCTGTGCAGCGGGAGGGTCCCACGCTGTCTGGTCGAGCTCGGATCCCGCACACTGGGCTGGCACCCGAGTCCAGGACCTGGTCTATGACCTGCGCCATGAACACCAAGGAGGTGAGTGCTCAGTCGCTGCCGGCGCGCGCGTTGCTTTCGCCGCGAGACAGCTCGGACAGTGGGCTACAAGTTCATCTTTACGAGAACCTTTGCCTCGGTTTTTTTTTTGTCGAAATGAACTGTATCAGCTCGCGGGTTTTTCTAGAGTTATTTATTGATTTCATACCTACCTTGCCCTTTGGGCCCTGCTGGTCCGCTTTAAGGCACGGTTTAAGGGGGCTGTGGCCACGGGCCACAGGCGGTCAAGGGTCTTTCGTGCGTGCCTCACGAAATTCGAGAGAAAAAAAAAAAATCGTTCAATACAGCTCAGATCAAGAGGACGAATAAAACTCGGAGGTGCCTCTGGTTTTCTAACGTCGTTCCCTTAACAGGAATATTATAAAGTTCGCTTGTTTGCACGAGCTGTTGTTTTGTCAGCTCAGTATTCAAGATTGTGCTAGAGCAACAAAATGTAAACGTGACCTTTCATCCTCCTTGTCAGAGGAGTAGAGCTGCCGACGCTGGCCGCCCCGTCAAAATGTCTTTGAATTGAAAGTAGACGGAAGGGTGGCCACAGGGTTCTCTTTTGTACTGGGGCCTCCTCGACGCGTTTTACGGATAATGGAAGGTCCGAAGGCAAGCAAGTGTTGCCGAAGGCTACGCGAGCAACGCTCGTGCTACACATAATTTTTTTATCTCTTAGCGAGGCTCCAATGGAAAGTTTCCTCCAAAAAACAACAAACGCAAAAAAAAAAACGAGGATTTTCAGAAACTTGCCTATGGTTTCACGAACATTTGAGTTATTACCTATTATTCTTAGCTTAGTACAACAAATGTACATACGCACAAAGGGCTGCGACATTCTAAATTACCGAAAAGAAAATAAAGGAGACCACTTTTAAAACAAATTTAAACATTCAGCTCTTAAAATCGACAACATGAAGGAAAAGCGTTTGAAAGTATCTCCTGCATACTCACGGAGAAATGCCTGTGCATGTCCCGAATGGCAGTTGGAACTCTATTATATAATACTATTCGAATGCAGAACTTTGTCAGGCTGAGAAGTTTAGCTACTGCTGTACGACTGCTATTAGCGCCGAGATGTTTCAGTGGCGCCCTCTTATGGTTTCCCTCTGTGACGTCACGACCGGGATTTGCCTCGCCGTGACGTAACCAGTTGTTATCCTGGCTACTTACCATCAGGCGCGGCGACACGTTCGGTGGTGTGTTTAAAAAGCACAGTGGAACCTAGGAGCCATCGCAATCCAAAACTAACACCGTCAAACTTGACTATCTGACAACGCTCATATGCCCGCGGTTCGGCCAATCGTGGAAAGCTGACCGCAGCGACGCTTTTGGTCGCGCGCGTCGCTAATGCTCGCGGACGGGATGAGAAGTGCAGGGTGTCGCCTTTTCCTATGCACGCGCACGTCGCCCTCCGCCGTGCGTTTGCCGCGCTTGCACGGTCGAAGCTCACCATGCACCGAAGTGTTGTCGCAAGTAGAAGGCACGCGCTGGAACCGGGACACCTGAAAGTCCTCCTTACCGGTCTTGTCCTGCCAGTGGCCTTGGTCCTGCCAGTGGTCTTGACCGTGCATCATGCAGTAGTGATCATACAAACACACGCCGGTACCATGCCTATCTGTATCGGTGTTCGCAATTTTCACGACCTACAGGGGGCGCGCTAGCGCCTATCCAAATGGTGCTCATCTGGATGATCGTCGTAGAACACCGGTATACGAGGTCTGCGATGCATAAGTAATTCTTGTTTTGAGATATACAAACGGTACTAAAGCGTAGAAATTACAGAGACCCGTGTCTGTGTAATCCCCTTTTTTCTTCTCCTTTTGTCCTACGTCTCGGGTTTTACAATGTTGGTACTAAAGCATTTTTTTTTATACGTGAGGAAAGTGTAAGCAAGCAGCTTTATTTTGAAGCCGATCAAGCGCCGTTCACACTCTTGCAACTGAGTACGACCGAGAGACACCCGACCGGTTTTCAAGCCTCTTGCGGCGCCTTAGAACAGGATGCGATCCAGCGGACCTGGTCCTGAGAGGTCGCAAGAGACTTAAACATCGGTCTGGTCTCTCTCGGTCTTACTCGGTCGCAAGAGTGTGAACGGGCCTTCATCCAGGTAACTAGAAAGCGCGTTTCTCGCACCGCGGTACCTCCCTCCTCGCTGAAAGTTTTTGCGGCAGGGGTGGGGATTACCGCAGGATCCCTGGATTCGTGAGCGCGAGCTTTCGGTCCACGTGGTGCTCCGCCCTTGTACCTTTACGCACCCGCAGTCGTGAACGGTTTTAAAGATTGGAAAACGTTGCGAACCGCGAAGGACATGTTCGTCCGTTGCACGCGTGCTGCGACCCTTGCCGGGCCGGCCGGCGGGGCTCGGGCCGAGGCTGGGGCTGCGGCAGGCGCGCAACAATGGGAGTCGCGTGACCTGATTTCCACAGGGCGCGTGCGACCTTGCATAGCTGAGTGCACGCGCTGCTCTCGGAAAATCCCTCCCCCGACTCGCGCCATCTGCCGCCTCTGCCTTTCATCTCTGCACCCGCTTACCCCCGAGTGTGGGCTCGGCTGTTGCGCGGCGGATTTCACGTTTTCTTTGCTTGGAGTGGCCGGCGACGTGATACAGACTGGGATGCTTGTGAGCTGGTGGCCCATTGGAACCCACCCTCCTACATTTGAAGATTTTTTTTTTTTTTCGTTACTTAGATATTGGCCGTACTGCGTTAGTCAACATCCTGTCTATTCACCGGGTATGAGAGAGTCGGAAAAGTAGAGGGAAGAAGAAAAGAGGGAACACGGTATCTGAAGTAAACGAAACAGAAAGAATTTTGTTGTCCTTCGGTGTCGGGTAGTATACTCCCCCCCTTTTTCCAAACCAACGAACGTCGGTACGCGTGCTTTTGATTTCTACAGCACGATTTGGAAATTCGGAGAAGCCAAGCCGGGTCTTCGGTGGCCTCCAAAAAGGAGTGCGTTTACTGATCTGCGATCTACCATTTGCAGATATACAGATGAAAGAAAAAAAAAAAGGTTCAACATGCTCTACTTTTTTATTCGGGGTTTCGATTCCCGGACCGTGATACGGCGAATAACCTTATGGACACGTCTGATCGTTCCTCCTCCGCTTTGTGTGCGCTATAGGTGTCAAGGACGCACACCTCGGAGCTTGGCACTGGCGGTTCCTGCGGCAGTTGTCAGAACTCCGGGTGGGACCATAGATCCGAACGATTCCTTTTTGCTTGGGAATATCCACCGCGTCCCCGTCTCTCCTATTTTTTTTTTTTTTTTCTCCTTGCGAAGCATCATCGACAACCTTAGAAACAGGACTCAAAAGAAAAGCGTAGTTACACACAGAGCGATATTGAACACTAGAGGATTTTCAGCTCGCGAACAACGCCATTTTGGCGCTCGGCGAATGTGTTGCTGTAGGAATGGGCAGTAGTATGGACACTTCTCAAGGTTAGGTGTACCCACTAATCTATCCAATCAGAGCTCGACGTTCCGACGTGCCCGCACGCCTCTCGCCTTCTCCCCTTCCTCACTTTCTCGACGCATAGACCTGTCAAAAGAAGGGCTCCTGTCAGGTTCCACTTTTAGTGTCCGTGCGTGTGGCGCGCGTTTTGCTCGCTTTCCGAAGCAACGGACATTCGCGTGCTAGGCTGAGGACTTCTAAATTTTCGAATGGTGTTTATTTTCAGCGTTCTTGCGTATGGCGCGTGTTTTGTTCGATTTCCCAAGCCATAAACGCGCGCGCGTGCTGGGCTGTGGAGATTGCACGATGGGCTTTGGACTTGTAAACCTTGGAAGGATGTATACTTGGTATTCACTGGCGGCGATAGTTGTGTCCACCGTTGCAGAGCGCGAGCTAACAATGGAGTTTCAGAACGCTTCCGGGACGTGCATTTCACACCACCAAGGTTGTGGGTCTTCTCGGAGGATAAGTAGGGTACCGTTTTGAGCATGCGTTGTGAATGCTGCGCTCAAGTATGGCGCCCAGTGAATACCACCTGTAATACACAAAAACAAAATATGCTCAATTTTTTTTTTTTTTCTAAATAGTTTTTACTTGCACTAGGACACAGCATCTCGAGGTTCGAATTTTTTTTTTCGAACATTTTAATCTCTATGGTACAATCACTAAGCCTGAATCTGACCGTCGATACTGGGCGACGAGGGGGATGGGTGGCCAAGTGTATTAGCACACCGCATCTCGAAGCACGTGTAGCGAACGCTCGCGCTGCAGAGCCCAGAGCTTCCGCGCTCAATCACCACCCCTGCCCGTTTTGGATCCGAACGAGTATCTTACCGGTGTGCGGTTGTGCATCACTACTGCGTGGTGCACGTTAAAACCCCAAAAAGTCCTTCTTCCGGCTTTTTTTTTTTTTTTTTAATCACCGAGACACATAACCGCGCATTTACCAGCAAACCGGCTACGGAGAGTATAGGTAATCAGCGCCGCTTCTTGTCCCTTGGCGGTGTGATGCTCTCCAGAACTGCCCACGACGTGCGCAGAGATGTCGCGGCGCGATATGCTCGAAGCGTCCGTCGAAAAACGCCACGGAGGCGGTCATTGTTTCCGAGGCGGTCGCGCTCATTGCCGGGGGCTTCCTCGGTCGAACCCGGAAAGCCGCGACTGAGACGCGCAGACCGAGAAGATGGTCCCCGTCGAACCGGCAATTTGTGTCCCGGCGGGGCACTCTTCTTGGCGTACACACAGAGCGGAGCAGCAGCGTCTCTCTTGTGCCTCTGCAAGACAAGAAGAAGCAGTCCCTACCACGCCCAATCCCGGAACGGTGGCTGCCTTCTGCGCATGCGTGCCTTGGCACGTGCCGGAAGGCTCGCCGTTTAGGAGAGATCGTGAGTTGGATCTGGCGTAATGGCAGCGCGGCCTCGTTTTCCTCGCACTTGAACGCATTATACGGCCCTTCAGATTACTGGCCATGGATTACTTTTCGGGGGGGCTAATGCCTCATTGCGCGATGCGATTGTCCTTCGAGTCATCGGGCGGGCGG